TCGAGAAGAAATTTGAAGCCAAAAAACCTGATGCCAGTGGCAAAGTTAAAAAGGGTGTCTCCAAGACTAAAAAGTCCAAGAAGGGGAAGCCCCATTACAGCCGAAAACCAGTTCTAGTCTGAGGCATTGACAGATACTCCTGATCTGCCATGTATTCCAGGAAGGTCATGTACAAGAGCAAATGCTTAGTTACTGAATTCAGGATTCAAAGAAAATGAAAGAGAAGGTTCTTGCCACAAAACTAGTTTGTGGGGACAAGAATGCTGGTACCCAGGTGGTTAAACTTTACAAAATGCTTAGATATTATCTTACCGAAGATGTGCCTTGAAAGCTGGTGAGTCATGGCAAAAACCCCTTCAGTCACCAAGTGAGAAAGCTGAGAGCTAGCATTACTCCTGGGACCACTCTGATCATTCTCACTGGACACTACAGAGGCAAGAGAATGGTTTTCCTGAAGCAGCTGAGAAGTGGCTTGCTACTTGTGACTGGACCTCTGGTCCTCGATCGAGTTCCATTGCATGGAACACACCAGAAATTTGTCATTGCCACCTCCATGAAAATTGATATTAGCAAAATAAAAATCCGAAAGCATCTCACCAATGTTTACTTCAAGAAAAAGAAGCTGTGGAAGCCCATACATCAGGAAGGTGAGATCTTAAACATGAGGCAGAGAAATACAAGATTACAGAGCAGAGCAAGGTTGATCAGAAAGCTGTAGACTCACAAATTTTACCAAAAATCAAAGCTATTCCTCAGCTCCAGGACTGCCTGCAATCCGTGTTTGCTCTTACAAATGGACTTTATCCTGACAACTTGATCTTCTAAATTTCTTGTGAGAACCTAATTAAATAACCTAATTAAATATCATGCAGGAGAAAGTGAGACACAAACTCTTGCTGAGATTCCATATATAGGTGGTCAAAAATCAGGCAGAACTCACTGATACCAAAAGAAGTCAGGATGGTGGTTGCCTGGGGAAACAATGATAGGGAGAAGCACAAGGGGCATCTGGGGTTGGGTCATTCCTGATTCTTAATCAGAGCACCAGGGACTGAGTATTCCTCGCTTGAGAGTTCATTGGGTTGTACTCTTAGGATATGTGCCCTGTCTGGGAATGATGGGGAGGTGCCTAGCCACACCCCACAGACTGCAGTCTGCATCAAGGAGTCACTGCATCAAGAATATCACAGAGGTGGAGGCACTGGATCCCAGGCACACCTGGACCCATCTGCTAGCCTGGTGATCCTGAAGGCCAGGGTCATAGTGAGGGTCTTGGCCAGAACAGAGGAGACTGCCACAGTGAACATGACGCCAAAGGTGGTCTGGTGCAGGAGGCAGATAGCAGTGGTGGGTCATGTAGCTAAGAACACTTGTAATTGGTTGTGAGCACTGGAGGGTCCCAATGCTGCCTATCTCCAAGCAAAGCCGCACCTCTAAGAAATTTGTCCAAATGTCCCCAAAAGACACAGCAGCACTGGCCATTACAGCCCCTGTCAGAAAACTTGTCAAATTCCTATTCCTACTGGAATAAATGAAGAGATCATGGAGTACTACATAGTGTTATTCTGCCAGGCATGAGAAAAAGAGAGCTACAGAGCTACAACTACAGAGAAACACAGGGATGAATCTCATATATATCATGGGAGAAAATGTGAGAGACAATGTGATTCAACTTATAGGAGGCTGAGAAACAGGCAAAACCCATGGACACCAATAGAGGTCAGGATGGCTGTTAACCTGCAGGGGAGTGGGCAATGACAAGGCAAAGCACAAGTGGCTTCTGGGAATTGCTCATGCCCTGTCTCTGGGTTGAGGTGTCAGGGACACATTGTGTTTACTAAGTGGGAATTTACTAGGTTTCATACTCACAATCTGTGCACTTACTTGCTTATGTGGGGTAGTTCAATAATGTGTTTACCTAAACCTAAATGTGAAACTATCCTCCCGGCCAGCTTCCCGTGGCCAAAGTCCACAGAAGGCTAGAGATGTGCATCTCACTGGACTGTGAACCTGAGAGCCTGGAAGTGCCTTGACGGCCCCTAGAGATCCAGCTTCCCCAGCCCTCACCTCCTTGGTCTGCGAACTCTCCATCAGGGCAGGGGCTGCACTTGAAACAGCAGTGGGGAAATCCCTGTCGGGGGATCTGGCTGGATCCTGGAGCACAGCTCCTGCTGCAGACAGACCTGGGAACCTGAGGGCAGAGGAGCAGGTGATATCAGTACTGGCCTGGGGGTACAGGAGACAGGTGTCCTGCACCAGCTCAGAGAAGCTTCCTAGTGTCCTCCCACCCACAGAGGGAAGTCACCTCGGTTACCTCAGAGAGGAGGGCCGGACAGGTGCCCACAGAGTAGCACCTGTGAACCCTTGCAAGGGCTGTGCCGGGCTCACCTGGCTGATGGTGAGAAAGGGAGCCACGCGGTGTGAGATGGGGCCTCCCAGTCTCCCAGAGCCCTACATCAGGCAATGTGGGTGCTATGTTATGTCCCCCTACCCCATATACCACCTTGTGTTGTATAGCCTGTGGCCCTCCCATCTACCCAGACCTGCAAAAAATGGTCTTGCTTCCCTCAGCTCACCTTCCATTTCCAGGAAAAAAAATTATGGTGAGTGAGGTGGGTAAGAATACTGTTGAGAGAAGTACGGAATATTGGGTTTCTCCTACCCTCAGAAGGGAGCAGAATGTTGTCCTTAGTTAAAGCCAACTGAATGGGACCTTAGGTGAATTATCAGAAAACTTAGCCTGCGTCCCCTAGGTTTGAGGAGTCCAGAGATGGGACCCTTCAAAAAAACCTTAAGACCAAAACCATCTCAGGATGTACCTCTGAGAACAAAGGAAGGTGAGGCTGTATAGGAAGGATCCAGTCATCTGCTGATGTTGGCCAGAGAGGCAGAATATTTCTGCAGGTTGAAATGCACAGCTGGATGCACACATCCAAGACAGTAACTAATTTATTATTATTATTATTTTTGGAGAGGAGAGTTTGTTTTCTTTCTTTCTTTTTTTTTTTTTTTGCTATAGGGCGCGTGTGCTCGCCAGAAAGACAGAGAGAGACAGAGAGACAAAAAGCAAGAAATCATCCCCAGGGGGATGGCCATGTCGCAATCCCTTCTCCTCCATTCTCCTCTTGGGGTCTTGGGCATGCACACACATGCGCCTGGCATGAGTTTAAGCCACTAGGTCTGGGACTCGAACTGCAGTTGACTACATGGAAGTTCAATGACATAGCCATTACACCAACTGCCAGTCCCCCAGCAACGCATTTTTTTAAAAGAATTATTTTACTTAACTTTAGTTATTTATTTTTATTTGACCAGAGAGGGACAGAGTGAGAGAGAGAGAAAAACAGAGAAAGTAAGCCTCCAGGTTCAGGACTTGAACCATGGTCAGCCATGTGGGAGTCCAGAGCCCATGCCACCTGCTGGCCTAGCAACTTATTTTTTAAAGGCTTATTTCTTCCATGAGAAAGAGAGATACAGCAGCCCCAAAGGGGTCTCGATGCTGTGATCCAGTTCCAGTCACAGCCCTCCCTGGATCATGGGCACATGCATGCCTGGCCTATTCAGGGAGGACTCCAGATGTGAACCACCAACCTTCCCATGTGGCTCTGCCTTGCAGAACATTGCATTTTACCACTGTGTCACCATCCAGCCCTCAGCAACTAAATTTTTGCTTGTTTGTATTTACATTTAATCATTATACATTTTTATAGCTATGATATGAGTTCTCAAAGCATAAATGCATTGTATTTGGTTGTGAGTATATATGTATATATACATACATATGTATATATCTATGCATACACACACACACACACATATATATATATATATAAAATGTTTTGAGAGATTTTTGTTATAGGGCGCACACACATGCTGGAGAGACAGAGACAGGAAGCAAGAAATCACCCCCAAGGGAGGATGGCCACACTACGATCCCTACTTCTCCATTCTCCTCTTGGGATTTTGGGCACATATGCACATGTACCTGGCATGAGCTTCAAGCCTCTGGGTCTGGGATCCAAACTGTGGTTGGCCACGTGGAAGTCCAGCAGCTTAACCACTATGCCACCTTCTAGTCTGCAAGTCAAAGATATTACTGTACGTAATACCTTTTCATTCTTGTGTTTGTTAAATATTCATTTTCTCTTTTTCTCCTGAGTTTCTCCCTTCCATCCCCAACTGTCCATCCCCTCCTATAGTCTATCATATCTACTCTTGCTGTTTCTGCTATTACATTTTTCAGTCTTTCAGTTTCTGCCATAAAGTGCAGACATACTGTATACATTGAGTGTAGTCATAAAATTTTTTTTTTCATAGTCTGGCTTACTACACTTAGTAGTAAATCTTTTATGTTTGGCCACTTTGTATCAAATGACAGGATTTCATTTTCTTTTCTTTTCTTTTCTTTTTTGGAGAGGTTTTCATTATAGGGCGCTTGCGCTCACCAGAAAGACAGAGAGAGCCAGAGAGATAGAAAGCGAGAAATCACCCCCCGCCCCCCATCCAGGGGAATGGCCATGCCTCAATCCCTTCTCCTCCATTCTCCTCTCAGGATTTCGGGCACACATGCACATACTCCGGGCATGAGTTTAAGTGGGTCCAGGACTCGAACCGTGGTTGGTTACATGGGAGTCCAGCGACATAGCCATTACGCTAACTGCTGGTCTTTTCATTTTCTTTTTTAAAAAAGCAGAGTAACAATTGTTCTGCCCATCCAGATGTTCTATGGGAAAGCCCTTGGTTGTGGGTATTGATATCTTCCCAGGTAAACATTCACCTCTCACTGATCAGATTCTGAATGCAGACATGATGAAAAAATACCCAAGAACAGACTCCTGGGACCAGCAGATGGCATAATGGTTACATCACTGGACTTCCACCTGGTTGATGGCAGTTCAAGTCCTGGATCTGGCAGCTTGAAACTCATGCTGGGCATGTGTGTGTGCATGCCCAAAATCCTGAGAGGAGAATGGAGGAGAGGAGGTTGTAGTGTGACCATCCTCCCAGGTGGTGATTTCTTGATTTCTATCTCTCTGTCTCTCTTGGTCTTTCTGGCAAGCATACACACCCTATAGCAAAAATCTCTCTCTCTCTCTCAAAACAAACAAACAAAAAACAACAAAAACCAAACCAAATCAAAACAAAACAAAAAACCAGAGACCAGCAGATGGTGTAATGGTTACATTGCTGAACTCCCACGTAGTCAACTGTGGTTCAAGTCCTGAACACTGTGGCTTAAAACTCACGCTGGGTGCACAGGTACACATGCCCAAGATCCCGAGAGGAGAATGGAGGAGAAGGCTTTGTAGTGCAGCTATCCCCCGGCGAGAGAGGTGTGATTTCTCACTTTCTGCCTCTCTCCATCTCTCTGGCAAGTGCACACACTCTATAGCAAATTCCTCTCTCTCAAAATAAATATATAAATAAGCAACCTCCTGATACAGACTCTGTGACTTCAGTGACTCTGACATCTCCATGATTGGTGGTGAGTAAATGCCTTTCTTTACTCAGATGAAGGTGAGACCACATCCATTCATGCACCAAACAAGGACATGGACAACTGCATTCTGAGTTTTCTGCTGGCTCTAATACAATAGAACTGAGATCATCCCTGCACCCAGGCAACTCACCTGGAGATTCTCTTTCCTTAAGCGGACTATCATTCTGTTCTCCAAAGAACTTTGTGGGTCAATTGTGCCTATGCGAACAAAGTGGAACAGGTCGTCTTCAGTCTTCTGCCCACAAAGAATGTCAAACTCTGTAACTATGTCTCCATTGGCATCAAACATGGTCTCTTTTCCATCTGGGGTCTTAAAATGCACCTCCCTGAGAGAATGAAGAAGCTGAAGGAAAGAAAGGTGACACTGGAAATTGACTAAGATCTATCCCTAGAGTCTCTCCAAACTACATCTGGCCATTGGTCACTGATGAGAAGTTCCAGGCAGGGCTGACTTGTTCATTATGCATTGAGACACAGAGTCCATGGTATTTACAGGAGATTAGAAAAATGTTCTACTTTTAACTTTTTAACTTTTTTCTTTAAAACCAAAAGAAAAAATTAATAAACTAATAAAAAACATATAATGTTGCTTCTAACTCAGATTATATGCATCTTTATACCAGGGTAGTCATAATATCGAATAATATTTTTCCATAGAGAAAGGAACCCACAAATGTCACAATTTTTCTCTGGCTTCTAGGACTTTGGCTATGCACTCCCATTCTCAACCTTCCCAATGTACTCTGAGTGAAGTTCAAAGCCTGTCTACACATCTCCATTCTTTAGCTGAGTGTCCCACACTCATTCTCCTGCGGACTTACCACTTTTCTTACTCATTCCCTTGCTAGGGTCTTTGCCTATACTGTTTCCACCAACTGGAATGCCATCTCTCTTATCCCAATGGCTGATACATATTGGCTTTCAAGATGAAGCTCATTTATCTCTTGAAAGAGAAAACTTCCTTAACTTCCCATTTCCTGCACTCACTCCCCACCACTTCATCCACTGTTAGTCTCCCCAGCACACCACATAGACATAGCCTTATTCATATTCTTTTATTCTGTCTCTGCCTGCTAAAATGTCCATGTGGGATATGCACAAAGACATTGACATTTTCTCCTCAGCCTTACTCCCCAGTGAACAGTTTCTGGCCAAAACTGACCTTGCAAGAACACAGCCCTCCCCTTTCCCTTATAGAATGGCTTACAACTGGATCCTATTGGTGTGTGTTGTGGGGTGTGGAAGGAGGAGTGAGGGCATATGCATTTCAAAGCCTGACAGTCAAGCACAGGGAACAGCCTTTGTTGATTTCCTTCATAGACAAGTAAACTTTTACTGTGATTGATGTAACAGTATAGGCAATAACCAGATACATTTACTGGGAGGCGGAAAGTCTACCAAACTCCATTAGGGACAAACACACTTTGCTCTTAGGGTATTTAGCTGGTTGGTATACTTCACTGTGGCTGCAGATATCTCATGGAGTGGCTGCCATTTGTATATAACACAAGTGGAATAAATCTTATGCGTTTCTCAGCTGGACCTCTATGACTTCTTAGAACCAGTAAACATTATAGGCAGACCCTCTCAGATTTGGGGCTCCCTCAGAGGAACAGAGTGCAAAAATCATTGTCCACCCTGTTGACAGTCTATCTTCAGTACTTAGAGCAGCACCTATGTAATAGAGGCCCAAGAAATCTGAGTGAAACTATTTAGAGTATCTCTCTTCTCCCTTGCCTTGGCCCTCCATGATAATCTTGCCAGCTAGCAGCATGTCCCTTGAGAGACGAATTTCTTAATTTTTGTGCCTACTTTAATTACCAGTACCCCTCAGTTGGCTGGAGAAGATGCCCCTTGGCTGCCTTCCTGTCCCACCATCAGAAGATGATAGGTTAGAGGATCTATAGAAATTATATATGAGATAATGAAAGATAAAAATACAATAATTTCCATATACTTACACTGATTATGAAGCATGAGCACCTCCATTTTGAATACGACTCTGCTGTCATTTCCCTTTTCCTGTAATCTGACCCATATGTGTCTCCTGAAAATTCCTCACTGAATGCTTATCACCGGTAGATGAATGCTGCCATCCACCCTGTCCTAACCAAATATTTATCACCAGCAGATGCAGCCAATTATAACTGTCCTTCCTGATAACTCACTTTTTCAGCGAGTTATCTTTTGTAAAAAACTCATAGCTCAAGGCCTGTACTTTCTTAGATGTGTAGTTTTTTTTTTTTTTTCTTTTCTTCCTGGTTTTTGCCCTTATGAACCTTCCTCCCCCACTGTTTTGGGGCTGCAAGTTTTGAAGTGACACAAGTTCCCTTGCAGCCACTGGCTTAATAAAAGTCCCCTTTAATTTGGCTAAAACTGGATGTCTTATTTTCTTGTGGATTTGAATACTTGGAAGCCCCAGTGAGATGTACCTACTGGCACCTGGATGAGGCATCCAGGGAGGGCAGCCTCACCCACCCAGCCACCTAACACTCAGGTTACTCTGGGCCCCAGAGACACCTTTATAGGTCTTCAATGGCTGGATGGAGGATGCTAACTGCTCCCTCCAACCAGAGTCTTGGTAAGAAAATCTCTTGAGTCTCTTTTTCTCTCCTCTGTTTCTCTTTACTCTTTCTGATTAAGATTGGTTGTTTGGTGAGTACGGGGCTGGCATGGGAGGTGCCCCCTGGTAAGTATTCTAGGGCCAACTGGACACAGTTGAAGGAGGTCCTACTCAGATTCCACCAAGATGTTGCTGGAATCATGAGCTAGCCTAGCGACTAGGCAGGATGCCTAGTGGTCTGTTTCTTCCAGGTCTCCAGATGCATATTCCTGGGATTAGGTGGGATGTTGGTGGTCTGTTTTCTTCTTGGCCTCCAGATGTGTATTTCTGGAACCAGGTTGGATTCTCTCTTATAAGTCCTTTCTGTCCCTACTGTCACTTTAAGGGATATTTCTTGTTGGAGGGAATATTTTTAACCTCTTATGTGAATGGTGAATGAGTGACTGTGTGACTGTTTGTGACTCCACAGCTTTGACTATGGAGTCTGAATGGGTCCTCACCGGTGGTTCCATGGCGACCTCCTATGGCTAAGGGCAGTGCTTGTTGCTGGAAGACCAAGTCCCTCCTTGCATGTTGAGTCCAGGTCAGGGGTTAATAGTGACTTGCCGAAGTTAAGAGGCACCAAAGTTCCTGTGAGGGACAACAACCAGGTGGACCTGTTTGTGGACCAAAACCACCTGTTTGGTCACCTCTTCGGAGGGGGAACCTCACCCTTTGTCTTGCAGCATTGTTGCAGGGAGGAAAACACAAGGCAGATACTCGATTCTCTTGCATCTCAGGAAGGCCCTTCTGCCCTCGCACCCTGGGCACTCCCCTCCTGGAGCAAGTCTGAGAAACTTCTTTTTTATTTTTGGAGAGGTTTTTGCTATAGGGCACGTGCGCTCACCAGACAGACAGAGACATAGAGACAGAAAGCGAGAAATCACCCCCCAGGGGGGATGGTGATGCCGCAATCCCTTCACCTCCATTCTCCTCTCGGGATCTTGGGCCCGCGCGCACACGTGCCCGGTGTGAGTTGTAAGCCACCGGGTCCGGGACGCGAACCGCGGTCGCCTACGTGGGAGTCCAGCAACATAGCCATTGCGCTAACTGCTGGTTCCCAGTCTGAGAAACTTCTGAGTGAGGACACTAAGACTTACCTCACTTGTCTCTCTCACGGGTTGGAAAATTGCCTCGTTTGTCAGTACTTTTGGTCTGGCTGTTTAGAAAATATACCCCATTTTGGGTAGATCCCAAACACTGGCTCCCACTTATCATTCATATCTTTAATCATTATCCCATCTTTTTGTCACTCAGAAGGAGTGTCACCAATTTAGGGAAGATTATGCAAGGGAATCTACCCTCTTGTTATTAGACCATCTACATTTCTCTCAAGCTGAATACCTCTGACCTTTCACTGGAGGATGGTGTCATTACTTTAGGGATCTGAAGCTAGGGTGTGCTATTTTAACCCTTACCAGAAGTGTGCAAGGAAGCTGATTCCAAGGCAACTCCCATAGAGAAACATTAGGGCCAGAAACCCAGACAGTCCATTCTGGTCCCTGAACTCTTTGACCTTGGTGTCAGCAGCCTCATCGGTCCAGCTGTAGACCATGCAGCCTGGGAATCAAAGCCTTTGACAGTTGGAACTCTTTGCAGTGGCAGTTTCACCTCACAGCTCCCCCACCTCCCACAGAACTCTTCCTCTTCGTGCACTCACCCTCCTGCGCTCACAGCCCTTTCCTCCAGACCTTGACTGGAGATTGGACAAGCCTCTAGGGGATCTTGGAAGCCACACCCATGGTCCCTGGGGCTGCATGCTCTGCACCCCCTGTCATATGCTTCCCATTGCACTAGCCCTCTTGTTGGCCCTGGGGCTGATCTTAGTGGCCCCTAGCGACTAGAATTGGTTCCAGAGATTCCTCTCAGCTTTGGTTTACTTGGGAAGCATTTCAGAGAGGCCTTTGAGGAAGGAGAGGACTATGGAACAAAGTTATCGAAGACTAGGCTGAATAACCTTTGTGAAATAGAATGGCCCACCTTTGGAATAGGATGGCCAGTCACGGGGTCATCCGACCCTGAGAAAGCACAGGCAGCTTGGAAGGTCATCATGGCATCTCGAGCAGCAGCCCAGGGCACCCAGATCAGTTCCCATAAGTGATCAATGGCTATCTCTTGTGAAAAACCCTCCGTCCTCATTACAGAATGGTTCCTTAAAGACAGGAAACCACATTCTAATAGTGGGCCCTACAGACTCATGCCAGATGAGGGGTCTGTGGTTTTGCAATCAGCCCCAGAATAGTCAGACCTCCCTCCCCCCCATAACCCAAATAGATGACACCTGGGGAGGGAAGATGAAGGTCAGGGTGAAGCTGAAGTTGTTCCCTCAGCTCCCTCTCACCACCATATACCTGAGGCAGATCCCAGGAGATGGGGGTGTGGGGGAAGTGGACTTCACCACCCCAGGGGCACTCCTGCCCCTAAGGTAGTCCTCCCAACAGAAGGACATCTCGGGGGTCATCCTTTCTTGGTTTATATCCCTTTCTCAATGAGCAATCTTTACAACTAGAAGGCCCCAATCCCCCCATTTTCAGAAATAAACCCCACAGGCCCTCATTAGCCTGTTAAAATCCTTCTTTTATACTCATTAGCCAACATGGGATGATTGCCAGCAGCTTTTGGTTACTCACTCCACATCTAAGGAGAGGAACAGGATAACAGTAGAGGCTATAAAAGCTGCATTGGGACCAAGAGGGGGATCAGCAGAAGAAAACCAGAATAGGATGGGGACAACTTTCCCC